CGTAGGGCGCGGGCAGCGGCACCCGCTGGCCCGCTGTTAACGACCCGCCCCGCCTCGGCCGCGCAGCCCCGAGCCCGGAGACGGCTGCGGAGGGCTGCACGCTGGCTTTCCAAAAGTCATAGTTTCCTCTGATGAGCGCCCGGCTTCTCGGGGCTGCTCACAGCAAAAGCATGACTCACTCCGAGAGGAGACCCTTCTCAACAAAGGCTCGGTGAGCACTGCAAATCACTTCCTGTAGCAAAAAAAAAAAAAGAAGAAGAAGAAGAAAAAAAACCACATACACCCACTGACAGCACTCTAGAGCCAATCAATTCTCAAATTTCCTTCTTCTACCTTCCCAGATATTTCCTTCCAACCTTTGATTTTTCACCTCCCCACCCCCACTCAGCATCTGTGCCAAAGGTAAATTCAGCTCCTTCAGTTGCTCATGAACTTTCTGAAGCCCATTATTGTGGTCCTAGGGCTTTCTCTTCCCTTTCAGTTCATCTGTGAGAGCCCAACAGTCTGCCAGCGAGGCGTTAAAATGTGACGAAGGCTTTTTAAGAAAAAGATCTTCAGCGAATCCTCCTGAATTCTGAATTGGAAAGCAGAAGTAATTGTTAAATAACCCTTTCCTCCTAGAAAAGGAGAATATTCACTCCCAGGTGAACATAATATACCAATTTCCCAGGTTTTTCTTTTTTCCTTTCAAATCGCCAGAGCGGCCATGACAAGTGTCTTTGTGGCAATGCAGTCCTCCAGAAAAAAATCTGCATGTGAACTTGAGCACAGACTCAGGTGAGGTGTCCTCTCTGCTAATTTACAGCAGTCTTTCTCAGCAGGGTTCAGTTGAATACCTACTTCCAAAAAAAAGCAGGAGAGGCTTCTTTGATGAATGTCAACAGGCTCCAGAAATCCATTCCAAAAAAGGGGCTGGCTTGAAGCTTTCGTCCAACTGAATGTATTCAGGCTCTGGAAAAATGCCTAAGAATCGCTACAAATACATTTCAATGTCCCTTCAGTGGGTGTTTTGCAACCCTGCAGTAAGGAAAAAAAAAAAAAGGCAGCCACTCTGGTTCCACATCAAATCCACAGGAAAAAAAAAACGATTCTTCTCAGGAGTCAGACGCAGGCAGCAAGTGAGATGCACAGGGCCTCCTTCCTCTTGGTTAAGAGACAGGACATGGGCAGCTCCCAAAAAGTCTGCAGCCACTCAAACCCACTGACCCTGTCCCAAGGTGTCTGCCATCTTCATCACTCTTGGAGAGGACTGGCCGACACAGGTTCCTGGCCAAGTTTCCCAGCTACTTCTATGCAAGCACATGAATTTCCCTCAGACTTGTTCTGAGGCCCCCTGAGTCTTCTCACACCCACGCTAGACATGTGACACATGCAGAGGTTTCTGGAGCAGGGTATAGCGAATGCCACTCCTGGTGGCCAGCAAGGCCAGCATCTGGGGCAGGATCGCAAAGGAGCAGCGGCATCCCTCCCAGGGCGGCAGACCTAGCCCAGCAACCGCTGGGCTCTTGTTTTTTCCCTTCCCCAGGCTTGCATAGCAACAGCAAACACACACCCCATAAATGGTTGTGATGGCTATCAAAGCCCCCCCCAGATCTAAAGCAAAAATGCCCTATCATTCCCAAACCGTGGTCTTCATTAGAAGCAGACAAAAACAGCAAAATGTGAATGAAATGCTGTTTGTGTGAATGAAAGGGCCGGCGAGCGAGCCAGCGTTTCTGTGAATGAAGCAGGCCCTGCAGCCGGCGCCAGGCAATCCCCGGGTTCCAGCGGCCCCAGCCAATGAGCAGCCGCCCCGATGACTCATTCAACAAAGGCTGGCTCAATAGTGGAAGATTCCATTTCAATCAAAGGCGGGATCTTTCATCCAACGGCAGTGTGGGAAAAAAAAAATAGCCAGGATGATTACAAAGATGCCGGGAGAAGGGACTGCTGTTATGGAGAAAGGAAAAGTAGTTTCTCAAGGAAATTCAAGAGCCGTTGGTCCAGTCCGAGTGTGAACCGCATCGCCCTCTTGGAGGTGAGCTGTGCCCCCAAACTTTCATTCAGCCTTTCATTTACATCAAGGAGCCACCATGAATGTGCCATTCGGTCCACATTTATTATGAATGTACAGCGAATGCACATTGAAAACCTAGGCACCTCGCCTTGATTCTTTTTGTGAAAGAAATGGAGAACCAAGCGCAGGTTCGGAGTCTCCCAGGAAAAAGAAATTCAAGCTACACGGTTAACCCTTTAACCAACAGGAGATTTTTATTGCTTTCATTGTGATGAGGAAAACTGGTCTTTTTAAAATATAAATAGCAATCTAAAGTGACTGCATGTAGAAGATATATGATCAAAGAGGGTGATTATAATCCAAGAACACCACAATACAGCTCAACCTCTTTTATCCAGGAGATAGTATAGGCATTTGGTACCTAAGGGAAGAGCAAATAAGAAAACCCCAAAGGCACCTCGGTTGATGCCAAATTAGAAACTGCAAGCCCAGCCCCTAAGCCCACGCCCTTCCCTCCCAGGATACCCAAGAAACTGTTTCTGCTAATTTTAGACAATATTCCAAAAGCCTGCGTTTCTGGTTTATCAATCTGCAACAACATAGAGGTGGATGAGAGATGAAATTTTCATAATCTGGCAACACAGAAGAAACAGAAAAAAAAGGAAGCCATTATAATGTTAGGCTTGAAACCCAAGAAGGCCAGGTAGCCTGGGGTCCATCACAGTTGCCTTTCCAGAACAGTGTCATTCTTTGTTTTAAATCAATAATTTTGAAGTGCATTGGTTTTCTAAGGCTGCCAGAACAGCCAACACAATATCACTCATTTAAAATAATACAAATTACCATCCCCCAGGGTTGTGGGCCAGAAGCTCACACATTCATGGGGGACATGGATTCAGGGGTGGACAGGGCTGGCTGCCCTGGAAGCCCTAAGTGAGCTCCCTTGTCTGACTTCTGCTTCTAGAGGCTACCTATACATTCCTGATGATGGGTCTTGAGGACAATGGTTGCCCCCTAGAAGGTTAAAGAGGCAAAAAATTAAAAATCAATGCTATAACTAGGTGTGCTATGTAAATGTTTTCATATGTATGAGATGCAAAAGCTGTCTAGAGGCATAGTAGGCTTGACCTCGGGTTGTCAGCAGTGACTTTACCAGAGAGAAGCCCCAGTCGAGCTTTGAGATTTCACTGGAATTTTCCTCGGTGGCTGACACTCCAGGAGGAGCCACCACATGGGGACCAGCTCAAGGAATTACCCATAACTGAAGTCTTGTGAAGATCAGTTGGACTGGCAAAGGAGATGGGGCTGATGGGGCTGCTAGAAGTATTCCCAACCCCCTTGGGTACACAGGGAAGGCCACGAAAGCTTGGGTGTGGTGACAGTCAGGTTTGTTTTTTATATGCACACCTCAGTAGTGCCTTGGTGCTCTGAGAAACAGAGAGTAGCACAAATGAATAAAGATAGGCTCTTGAAAGATGCCAACAGCATTGGGATGGGAAGGAGAGAAGGGTTCAAGATATGGTGAGAAGATAAAATTGACTAGATGATAAGGGATGTGGGTAAGGGAGGCAGACTGACTTATCTGGAGGCAGACATTTACCTAGAATTTTGTGAGCAAGTTGCCCATTAGGGACCAATTACCATGGAAAGCAGGGGGAGGCCATAGCCTTGGGCATAAAAATGGGACTGTGTTAAAACATATTTGTACAATATTTGACCTCCTCCATAAAACTGATAAGGGGTTGATACAAAGATCTAAAAAGAGCTTATATAACTCAACAAACACAAAGAAATAACTCAGTCAAAAAATAGCCTGAAAGCTAAAAATTCACATCCAAAGAAGATAGGCAAATGATTAAAAGGCATGTGAAAAAATCCTAAACATTATTTATTATCAGGAAAATGCAAATCAAAACCACAATGAGCTACCACATTAAAGTGCACAAATTTGAAAAGGAAGACCCCCCCCAACCCCCACCAGGAAAGACCAGGCTTCCCAAAAGGGAAATAACAAATAATGGTCTGGAGTTAGGGGATAATTATGGAAACTGATTTGGTTTGTGTCTTAGTGCATTCAGGCTGCTAACAAAAACAACAAACATTTATTCTTTACCATTCTGGAGGCTAGAAGTCCAAGGTCAGATTTGGTGGGATCTGTTTCCTGGTTTCTATGTGTTGTGTCCTCACATAAAGGATGGGTGGGAGTTCTCTGGGATCATTTTTTATGGGACTCTATCTTAATTCATTCTTAAGGTTCCATCCTCATGATTTAGGTAACTTTCAAAAAGCCCACCTCTAAATGCATTCATGTTAGGAGTTAGATTTGGTGTGCAGGTGGCGGTGATAGAAACACAAAAGAGGAGGGAGTTAAATAGGGGGGGCCTCAGTTCCACTAAAGTTAGGTCATTGTCATCCTGGGGGAAAAGGGGACTTCATTCCCCTATGACAATGTGGAAGGGGTGGGATGGCTGGACATCAAAGGAAAAAAGAGTAAGTGCACAGCATCTTTAGAAAGGGAGAATT